CACAACGTGACGGTATCAGTGTGTGTAGGTAGTGAGTAATTGAACTGCAGTCAGAAAGTATTGTTGAAGTTCGTTGTTATAGCGTTTGTTATCACGGTCCAGGACATTTCAGTTGGGATGAAGTGGACAACAGAACAAATGACGCTGCTGAAGACGTGCCATCTGAAGAAGCTACCGTCGAAAAAGAAACTCTACTCAGTTTTGAGAAGGGAAACGGTGAAGCTCTTGGTGAAGTTACTACTACTGATGTGACTGTTACCGATGATGGGACATTTACTGATGAAGCGGATGAACCCCACATGAAGCAGAAGCCAATGAGACAGAGACCGGTACGGAAGAAGATACGTCCCGTAAAATTAAGAGACTTTACAAAATTACAATTCAACGTTTGTAATTCTGTACAGTTAATTAAGTTATTGTTAATTGTTATTGGTTTATTGTATGTGGTTATTGTTCGGGACGAACAATATTAAGGAGGGGGCAGTGTTGCGTCAGCGAGTCACATGACTAGTGTGACGCCACGTTTCTAGAACTATCCCGTACCTTGGCGAATGCTCCAGTATTTACTAGATATAGGGTAGTCTGGTATATAAAAGAGGGTGACAACGTGACGGGAGGATAATGTAATGTGTGTGTAGATAGTGAGTAATTGAACTGCAGTCACAGGGTATTGTTGAAGTTAACGTTCGTTCGTTATAGTGTTTGTTTTAGCGCCAATATTGAAAATAAGTGTATCGTAAAGTTTTATTCGGAAAGAATAAACCAGTTTTATTAAGTAAGGACTTGTGTCGCTAAAGTTTCGTCGGAACGAAGTTACGGAAAGTTAATTAACAAACGGAGACGTAACAGTATTTTATTAAACCAGACTAGTCACGTGTTAGATATACACGACTGTTTTAATTTAAGTATAGCGCGAGTGTTACATTTAGTTATTTTTAGAAGCAATAGTTTGTCGCAGGTTTGTTTACGTAACTGCGTACGAATCATAGGTTGTGTAGTTCAGTTTTAGCGAATTGGCACTTGTTGTATTATTGCGTCATGTTACTAGAATCTTCTAAGTTTTTCTCGAATATTATTACATCATAATATCTCGTTTTTGTTTTGTTTATAGTTAAGCACAAGGCTATACAATGGACTAGCGTTGTAAGTCCACAGAAATTAATGTGGTTCAATAAAACTGGAGTGCTGGGCTAAATCATAATAAATACATCTCAGTCGAAAGTACCTACCAGAAACCCACAATTTCGGGGATATTCCTATAATTTCAAATTTGGCATCCTGGAATTGATAAACATTTAGCCAAAAAAAAACCACCCTATATTCCTCTCCATATATCTTAAAGCAAAGCTTAATTTGAGTTAAAAATACATTGTTCCTGAGTCATTCGTAAACAACACATTCAGAAGTTCCCGTTGAATTGGTCAAAATGATTTCAGTGTTCGAAATTAAAATGACTTTATCTCAGTTAAGCCTGTTTTTCTGCCTGTGAAAGAGGTTTTTAGTCTACTTTTAAAATGTTTTTAAGAGCGTCAGATACTAAAAGTAAATTTAAAACAACTAAAGAACCACTAAAACATCATTTATTTTACTTCTTGAACTCATGTTTCAAATATCTTTATTAATCATATTTGCAGAATGTATTAAAAAGAAAATGGAAACATAAGAGGTTTGAGTTTAGGATTACTTTTATCAGAACATGCTTAAAATGAAATTCCTCATATTACTCGTAAGTTACATCTGTACTGCGTAAGGAAGGCTAGCCGGTAAGTAGATATTTTACTCAATACCAAATTTTACCATTTTCTTTAATTACAAGAGTATTCCCATATTTGTGGTATTGCAGAAATACTGATCCCAATTTTTGATTTGCAGATAGGCCTGTTATTTATGATTTTTATAAAAGCTTTTGTCCCAACTAGTTGGAAGGATGGCCAACACACTTCCCATTGACTAATCGCTTCCTTCCCATGTAATAATTTTGCAAACCTCAGTAGGTCAAGATGTCGCCTATGAAGGAAGGAAAGTTTAAACAAGCTACTTATTTATTTTTGGTCAAGTGTTATAAATAAATTCAGTCCAAATAAACCAGTAATCGGAGATATCGCCACTCTCTACGTCAGTCCTAATAAACCATTAATTGGAGATATCTTGGAGATGCCAAGGAAAGCCGAGAGGTGTCGAGCACCAACCCTGAAATTTAATTGCCTCCCCTAAAATTTTCACTAAACAAATCTAATAAAAGATAAATCTCTTGAAACACAATGTCTTCAATTATTAAGCAATCTTACACAAGACAACCCCACTCATTAAAACATTACCCAATCTCTAGTTACCTCTTACGGTTATCAATTTATCGTCCATAAAAAAAATTATTATCCTTAAAAAAAACCTTCGCCTCCCAAGCCCACCTGCCACACCTTCGCCTCCTCACTTTCAAAATCCTGTTGTCGGTAGTGTGAAAACCTCTACATATCTTTTTGTTACATGCTAATGGATACACATATGGCTTATACTTTCAAGATATATAATTGTATTTATAATAATTCCTGTAATGATTTGTTTAATTCAGCACTTAAAGGAAGCAGTTAAACAAATTTAATAGCTGGATATCAACTTAAAGAGACGTTATATAATGCACGTTGATTGTTTTAAATACAGAAAAAAGGCTTTATGCGTTGAATATCCTACGTTCACAGCTAAACATTGATAATATAAAAGTAAATAAAAAATATCCATAGTTCCACATTAGTTTAATACTGTAAATATACATACTTTTAAGTGAAAGAGAAGACGAAAGTCCAGTACTAAGAAAGTGCAGAATTACATACAGTTCAACAAAATTTCTGGATTCAACATCTTTGCCGTTTAAGCATTGCAATTCAATGTTTATTACATTTTTATAGAAGTGTCGTTAACAGAATAGGTCCCAGAGCGTTTTTTCAGTTTAATTTGTTTGGATACTTTTTCTTTTTCCTTGTCAGTATGTCTTGATTTTTTTCTTTTTTTGCAAACCACAATTACAATTATGATTAAAATTATTATCATGATAATTAACACGATGAGTCCAATCAAGAGAGAGCGTGGTAAAATGCCTCCAGAGTCGTCTATGCTGTTACTCATGAGAAACATAGTACAGTTTCTGTATTCACCCCATATTGCATGGTCAATCACTAGGCATATTGTGTACAATTCTCCTGGCTTAAGTTTTTTTATCGAAAAGGAGCCTACGGTGCAGTTCATTCCTTTTCTTTCAAGAACAACCTCTGAATTCATTAAGACCATCAATTGAAGACTGCAGAGATCTGGCGATTCATACTGGTAAAGATTCCACGAAATTAAAAGTGAATTAAACTTTGTGTCTTGTAAGGCAGTTGAAAGCCCATAGTTGAAACCTTGCGCTCTTTCACCATCTGTAGTATTATGTTGTTTAACTGGAGTAGTTGTTGAGGAACTTGGACTAGAAGTTATTGATGTAGTATCGTGCTCTAATGTGTTTATGATAATACCTTCAGTGGCAGTGTTGACTATAGGTGCCTGACTGGTACTTTCATCACTGACTAAAGATGCCCGGGTTGTGTCCACGTATTGTGTCTTAGTATTGAAATCAGGTGTTTGGGTGATGTTATCATAAAAATTAGTCTCACTAGGGTCTACAGGCGGTTGAGTGGCATGAATGTAAATACTAGTGTTGTTGAAGACTCTAGGAGTTTTAGCTTCAGTAGCGACTTTAGGTAGTTGAGTCATGTTAGTGTAAGTACTATTGTCAGTGAAGACTACAAATGACTCCGTGGTGTCAATAAGGTTATTGATTTTAGTAGTGACTACAGGTAGTACAGTTGTATCCACGAAGTTACTAGTTTCAGTAGTGGTTTCGGGTGAGTGAATGGTGTTCACGTTAGTACTAGTATGAATAGAGACTCGAGATGACTCAGTTGTATCCATAAAAGCACTAGTTTCAGAAGTAATACCAGAGGACTTGCTTGTGTCAACGAAAGTGCTAGTTGCAGTATTGATTTCGGAAAAGTGGTTGGTGCCGACGTAGGTAGCAGTGTTAATGGTAATTCCAACTGATTGTGTTGTATTCATTGAACTGGAAGGGAATACAGTTGTTATTTCGAGCCTAGGAATGAGATTAGTACAGTTTTTGACCACTGTACTGGTTTTATCCAGAATTATAAAGCAAACTTCATATTCAACATCTTCGTGCATATCCAGAAGTGTTACTGATTGAGAACCAGAATTATCAAGTGACGGACATGTTAAAGGTAACTTTTGTTCGAATGACATGCCGCCTACATTCTTGTACGTCAGCATACACCTGTATGACGCAATATGTGCGCTGCCGAGCACCATCCATGTTAACGGTAGCTCCTTATTTTTTACTTCAAAGTCTGTACTTAACAAAATAATCTTTAAAGTTGTTTGCAATGAAGCTGTTGTTCGCCATGAAGTGATTGAATGTGTTACCACAGAAGGCTGCAGCGTAGGACTCTGACAGGTGATGCTGGTATTGCCACAATTCATAGAATCGAAGTCTATCTCAATCAGGTTCTTTCCTAGTAAAGGTGAAGGTACAGCACATTCTCCAGCATCAGTTATTTCAGGTATTGTTTTTAAGAGCAGGACAAATTCATTTAATGCACAGTCACAGATAAACGGATTACCTATAGAAAGATCAAGAACAGCTACAATTTCAACACAAGTACATGCCTTCCATGTAATTAAAACAGCTAAATGTTACGATAAAAATGATTAAGTTTAATATTTGAAGAAATTATTAACATATTACTTTATCTTTTTTCTCAGTTGTTATGAAATATTACCATATGTTTTACACTGAAAGTTAAAACCTAAAATAAGATACCACACCTATGTATATTTTGTATATTAAAATAACTTTGTCTAGGTATTCGTATTTGACAATCTTCAACGTTTACTGTTGAAATATTATCACTCTAACTTGATAGATTAATATTATATTATTTTTGACACAACTTGACAGTTATATTTAAAGTATTATTACTGTCATATGACATGTAAAGTTGAGTAATAAGTAAGATTACAATCACATTGTTTCAGAGTTGTATATTTTGCTATTGATTGATTAAGCAAAGATAAATGTATGTATTAAGTCGTCAAGAAATTAATGTTTTGGAACACTTTCATCCCCCCCCCCCCATAAAACGTACATCACATATAATAGTTAAACCGCCTAAACGTCACGTTAGCGTAGCCTGTATAATGTGTAGTATAGTGATGGCACACAACGAAACACACATTCGGCATGTAATACTGTTTGAATACAAAAAGGGAAACAACGCCTCTGTAGCCACAAAGAATATCAAATAATTTTATGGAAATGTTTTGGACGTTCTTAAGTGTCAACGATGGTACAGCAAATTTCTTTCAGGTAACTTTAGCCTTAAAAACTGTGATGGCAGGAGCCGACATGTTGAAATTGATATTGATGCTCTCAAGACGCTTGTTGAGTCTAACCCAATGCAACACATTCGTGAAATGGTCCTGAAATTGTATGTCTCTCATGAATAAGTATGTAAATATCTAAGGAATATGGAAAACTCCATAAAGAAGGTGTTTGGGTGCCTCTCGAACTCTCCGATGATCATCGTGTCCAATGTGCGAACGTTGCTTTGTCTCTTCTGGCGCGTAATGTGCGTGAACCATTTTTGGACAGAACTGTCACCGATGATGAAAAATGGATTCCATATGCGAATATTAAACGCCAAAACAATGGCTCAGTCCTAGACAAAAGCCACTTCCGACCCCCAAACCTGGACTCTATCCGCAGAAAGTGATGCTTTGTATTTGGTGGGACATCAAAGAAGTAATTCATTTCGAACTCCTCAATCCACAGCGAACTGTCAATGCAGAGATCTATAGTCAGCAACTGGAACGTTTAAATCAAGCCCTTCATCAGAAACGCCTTTCACTCGTCAATCGGAAATGTGTTTTTCTTCTCCACGACAATGCACGTCCACATATGGAACGTTTTATGCAACACGGGATAATGGAGCTGGGTTAGGAAGTTCTCTCCCACCCACCATATTCTCCAGATATGGCACCATCAGATTACCATCTTTTTGATTCGCTGCAACACCATCTTAATGAGAAAACGTATGCAAATGTGGAGGGTGTTAAAGAGGACATCGACATGTTTTTTGCTTCAAAGCCAAGTGATTTCTTTAATCGGGACATTAACAACCTAATTGTAAGATGGAAAAGCATCATTAATAAGAACAGAGACTACTTCATTTAATATATATAAGTTGTTCGAGTTTTTTCATCTAAAAAAGCAACATTAATTTTTTGACGACCTAATAGTTATAGTAATTTAACATTAAACTATAAACTGCTTTTATTATTAGCGTTACTAGCAGACACATCCGTTTCTCTGACGGTAATTCAGCAATGTAAAAGAGGTACGAAAAGTGGTCATGTCAGAAGTGAGACACACAAAAAGTTAATTGTTGGATATTTGCTTTTATTTTAATATGTCACCCGAATGTACATTATAATAAGATTAAGTCGTACTCTTAGCAATTAGTCATTTGCTCTTAGCTTGTGACGAACGTTCTTATGAACATTAATTCATTTCGAACTCCTAAATCCATAAGCATAGCCAAAATGGCGTATATTATAATAAAATATGATAAGCTAAACATTAAAATATGTTTTATAATATTACATTTCACCGGTTAAACCCTAACGATACCATTACTTGGCACTTAAATATTAATGTAGAAAATCAGAAGCCATTGATCTAATACTTAGTTTCAATTAAAGGCAACGCTGAAATAATTATCTCTTGTTATTAATATATATCAATGGTAGTTTTTTAATTTTACTCTTTAGACGTGTTAATTTGTGTTTATATCTGAAGTTTTAATATTAAGTAAAAGTTATGATTAACTGAAAATGAAATGTAAGATTTATGTAGAATTGATAGCTAAATGTTAAGCTACCACTATTAATAATTATTATTTGATAACTAATTGTTAAACTGTGCTCATTGATAACACACATTGTTCTAGTAACGTATATTTGTTATAACTTGATAGGTGCGTGTTAAATCATATTTACAATTTAAAAAAAATACCTTGTTGTTGATTGTTTGACAACTAAATGTAAAACTATTTCTGTTTCTAAAAGTACTAAGTTGTAATCATTGTTAACTAAGAGGTGAATATTAAACCATATTTAAAATTATTAAGCAGTTTACTCTTGACTATGCATATTACCAAAATGTTCATATACCGTACACTATCGGCGGGTTCATGAACCGCAATCAATTTCGCGAATAAGTAATTTATAAAAAAATGTGGTTCAAAAGTGATCGAGTTTAAGCTATTTTGAAGAAAGCTTGACGACAAAGTGTTAGGTTATGTTCATGATATATGGACAAAAACATGTCAGGCTACATTAATAATTATACGAGAGCAAAATTATTTACACATATATCAATATTTCAGAGTTAAATGTTTGTTTGTTTTTATTTTGAGCAAAGCTACTCTAGAGCTGTCTGCGCTAGCCGTCCCTGATTTAGCAGACTAGAGGGAAGGCAGCTAGTCAACAGTACCCGCCATCAACTCTTGGGCTACTCTTTTACCAACGAATAGTGAAACTAGCCTTCACTTTATAATGTCCCTTCGGCTGAAAGGGTCAGCACGTTCGATGAACGAGTTTCGAACCCGCGACCTTCAGATTGCGAGTCGATCATCTTAATCATTAGTCCATGCCAGGTCTACATGATAGAGATGTAATGTGGTTAGTGCAGGAGATATTAGCTCCAAGAAAATTTTAATTATGCATTAGACGAGAATTATAAAGTAGAATGCTGGAAAGAATGCAAATGCCATTTGAGATAGCAAACAAACATTTAACTAAAGTAGCTTTGGTCCTATAAGAGTGAAGTCAACTGTCAATATTCGATCAGAAAAGAGTAAATGAAGAGATAGCGATAAGTCCTGTTGGCTAGCTACCTTTCCTCTAGCCCATCAGTTCAAAATTAGAGACGGCTATGCGGAGATAGCTTTTTGTGTATTTTAGCAGAAAAAAACTTACTTGTGGTAAATATGTTTTATACTTTTGTCAGAAGCAGTTTTTTTTAATAATTTGTGTATAAAGCTCACCTAAAGCTATTGCTTTCTACTTAACAGTATCCATATGAGTTTACTTTGTGTACTGTTTATCTATTTTTTTTATTTTCTTGTCAAACACTATTTTTATTCGATTAAAAAAAAAGCATTGCAACATCTAGGACACGCAAATTTCTCACCATTTTTCTTCAATATTTTGCAGTAGGTCTACTTTCATTCTGATACAGTTCAAGGCCTATTCCTCGTCAACTAACATCAGATACTACTTTTGAAATATATATATAGCGTTACTGAAATAGGTTTAGAAGAAAAGACATAAACGTTAAATTTTCATTACTTTATCTCCTATTGATTTTTGAAACATCTTACCTTTTAGGCTGATTGTTACTATGTTGTAACTTTGTGTGAAAGCTCCGGCCTCCACGTTTGAAAGCCTGTTGTCATTAAGATTTATTATCTCCAAGTTGAGAAGGTCTACAGTATGTTCACAAGTCAACTTTTCTAGTTGATTGTTATTTATCAACAGGCTACTTAGAGACGTAAGGTTATAGAATGCTGTAATTGGCAAACTCTGAATTTGGTTATTACCTAGATCTAATGTTATCAGATTCCAGAGGTGTGTGAAGGCATTGTTTGAGATCGTTTTTATCCTATTATTAATCAGAACTAATATCTGGAGTTGGACAAGTTTTGATAAAGCATTTGTTGTGATTTCTTCCAGATCGTTGTCGGTTAAATATATTTCACGCAGGTTTGGCATTCCACTGAAAGTATTTTCATTCAGTTGTCCTTTTAAGTTGTTGTTCTGCATTGAAATCATACGAATACTCGAAGACTCAGCCGTCATATTCGCTAGTGAATAAATTAGATTTTCATCTAGGTAAACATCAGCAAGATCCTGCAAGTTAATAAAAACATCAGTAGACAGGCTTATTAATTTATTCATGTCTAAATACAAATGTTTGAGATTTTGTAAGCCTATAAAATTGTCTTTGTAAAGAACTGTGATATTGTTGTGATCCAAATATAGCTCTTTTAGGTCATTCAAATACTGAAAAGTCCTTGCGGCAATAGAGTGTATCATGTTCGAATTGAGATATAATAGCTCCAGGAGTGGCATCCCAGCGAAATCTTGGGCTTCTAGACTCACAATCAAGTTGTTTGATAAATCTAATTCACGAAGATTAAATAAAACTTTGAGGGAACTCGATGGAACATGGACGAACATATTATTTCGAAGACTAAGACTTTCTAGAACTTTACTGACCCCAAAGAAAACATCACTTGGCAGAGTTGAAATATTTTGAGTCGTAATGGTAAGTAATATAATAATGTAGTTTTCAAACATTCGAGATGGAATGGCTTCCAAGCCAGTTATGTCGATAACTAATGTTTTTATTTGACCTTTTGTTACTGATTTTAAAAAATCTGTAATATCAGTAATAGTTGACGTACTGTTGTCCTTTTCAGAGCCTGAGCAGTTAATAACAACAGGGATATTATTTTTGCACTTGCAGATAATATTTAACGTTTTCAGATCAGGAGGACAGGATCGAGATGAGGAACACGAAAAACAGCACAACAACAACAGTAGAGTAAACAACATTTTTAAGGTTACAAGTACAAGTATACTAGACGATAAAATATCAAAACACGACAACTTTTATATGCTTCTTCATGTAAAGTAACTGTGCCACTACATGTTGAAAACACTTGATCGTTCCTTTCAATGGTAAACAGCATTGACAGACATATCTCTTGACACCAGACACTGAGGAGCGGTCTTACATTTCCGTTCTATAAATCCCCTAGCAATAATTGGAAGAAACGATTAGCTTATCTCTGTTCACTGACGTCTGAGCGTGATAGACAATATTTCCTTTTCCACAAAACAAATAGGGCGTGATTCGTAAAACAAAATAATACTATACTACCAGTTGAAGATGCATGACACATTTCTTTCTTGGGTTGGTATTTAGCATTTGTACGCAACTGTTATTTACAAAACTTTTGTTTATCAGATTTCTCCTCGTCCAACATAGTAACAAGAGTGCTGTATTAATGCTCTTTCCTACTTAAAAATATATACATTAAAACGCGATTTTAAATATGTTTATATATAGATACATATGCATATTTTTCTGAGGTTTTGTCTTAAGGTTAAAATGCACCTATTTATTTTAAAAATTTTATGCAAATTGCTATTTCTAATTGATCATTTTATTTCTTAGCAAATCTGTTTTATTGTCATGCATTCCTTTTCTATTATTTTAATGCATTTTTTTTATGAATTACCTAAAAGAAAAAAATCATCTCAATCATGGTTTTAATGGCTTATCTATATCTACATACATGTTTTTACACTTACATCTTTTCCTGTCATTTGTGCGGATGGATGCTACTGATTATGCAGATGGGCGAAACAAAAATGATAGAAAATTATCTTATGAGCTCTTTTTTCCTATATTTAGTGTGAAGTATGTTAGTTTTCTACCTAACTTTGGGCGAAGAGCCTGGTGATTTCTTTTTTAAAAATAATTGTTGCCTAAAATCATACATATTTAATCAGTTACGTATCACATAGTTTAAACTAAAGATAGAGTCTGGATCAAGTTATTATTTGACAAAAGCAAGATGTAAGCAATAAATTCGTTAAAAAATAGGTCATTACAAGAAGAAGAAACCAGGTACATGTGTGATTCATGTGCATTATGCAGAAAAGCAGATTGTGATTATGAAGTAACTCACAAAATAGACAAAAACACTCTAAGGTAAATGCATTAAACAGGATTAGAGTATGAAACTCGATCAATAACTTATCAAAGTAGACAGTTAGGAAAAGTGGAAATATATTGCTCAGTAACCGAAAAGAGTGCATGGTGTTAAAACATTCTATTGTTATCTATATGGGGAAATTCGTCATAACTACAGATCAGACACCCCTTATGGTGGTTAATGACATTAAAAGGTCCATCATCTAGGATAGCCAGGTGGTCATTGCTATTAAAAGATTATGATTATGAAGCAATACATATAACAGATAGAAAATGCTCTAAGGTGAATGCAGGATTAGAGTAGGCAACTCAATCAATAACTCAAAACAGATGATTAACAAAATTAAGGAAGTGAAGAAAGACAGTGATGATGACTTTGAAATACTTTGGGGTTTGAATCATGCTACTAATGTACAAAAGTAAGATGTAACGGTAAATTCATTAAATTGAGGCGTATTATACAGTAAAGCAGAATGCACAGGAGACATCACAGGTATATCACAGATAGCAGTATCAGAAAGCTTAAGAAACAAAGTAATGAGTACATACTATTATACTATATTTGTGGCACCTTTAGTATTTGCAAAGGCATATAGCATAAGATCCTTTTCAGGACATGATGAAAGATGTTAAGAACTTTTGTGAATCATGCATTGAATGTTAAAAACATAACGTTAGTCTTCATTAATAGAATGCTCCTTTACAGAGAATGCCAAGCATAACCGCCCCATATCAGATGGTAACCATATTTTAGGCTCATTGCCCATTTAATATTGAAGAAATAAATACATATTAGTCATTTCAGACTATTTAACCAAATTTTCAGAAGCAATGTGTTTACTAAATCAGAAAGCAAAAATTATGGCGATAGAACTTGTAAATCAAGTTTTAGTACAACATGGAATACCACAGTATCTGTTGACAGATAGAAGTACAACTTTAATTTCAAAGATATTGAAGAAATTTTCAAACTATTACGTGTAAAGAAAATAGAGATAATCTCATACTATCCAGCTGCTAATGGACTAGTTAAAAGATTCAACAGAACGTTTTTAAACATGTCGTCAGAATGTTGTGAATCTAATCAGAATACATGGAATGAGCAGGTCCCATTGTTATTATCTTATAGAAGTGCACTCAATAAAGTCCTTTCTTCTTATTACCTGATAGATTTGATTTGGCTTTGAATTTCGCGGAAAGCTACACGAGGGTTATCTGTGTTAGCCGTCCCTAATTCAGTGGTGATAGACTAGAGGGAAGGCAGCTAGTCAACATCACCCACCGCCAATTCTTGGGATACTTTTTAACCAATGAATAGTGGGATTGACCGTCACATTATAACGCTCCCACGGCTAAAAGGGTGAGTATGTTTGGTGATGAAGCTTGGAACCCGCGACCCTCAGATTGCGAGTCGATCGCCTTAACAACCAGGTCGTTGAATTATTATAGAGATGTAGTATGGTTAGTATTAGAGATATTGGCTCCAAGAAAATTTAATTGTGCATTAGACAAGGATTATAAAGCAGAAATATTGCAAATAATGCAAACAAAATTTGATATATTTGTTATATACATATAACTAAGGCAGCCCAAAGTAGGGAAAACAGTTAAATAAAAAAGCAAAAATTATTGTGATTAAGCTAGCAGATGAGGTCGTATTATATATCCTCTCATTAAAAAACAACAACATTAAGGATCTATATAAATTATTGAAAGGCTCTTTAGGGTGATCAAATAAACAAGCCTAGTGAATTTTATAATACAAGAGATATACGGTAAACATACACAGTTGTTACACACTAACAGGTTAATGAAAGCTAGAGAAACTAAACCATTTAAGTTGGAAAAATTACCCCGGAGCAAGACCTAATTAACTAAATGAACTCCAAAACAGAAATGAAAGACAAAGTAATAAAAACCGAAGACAAAACAGAGGGTAATGTACTATAACGACATGTTTCACTAGGTAGTAACATAGTTATTGACACTGAAGTCATAACATTAGAAACAGATCAAGCAAACAGAGTACAAGCACCAGCGAAAGTTCCCCACAAACAGTATAGCTGAACCCACTAGCATAGACGTTCAATGTCCGCCACTAACAACAGATGTTTGTAAAAGTGAAACTACAGCAATGCAACTAACTCCAAGAACTCATGGTTATAACTAAAGTCATGATAACTAGTGAAAAACAACGTTGAATACCAGTTTCCACCACCAGAAGATCAAGACAAGCTAGTTTCGACTCACGTGTGATTAGATACACGACCAGAGATAATATCAGTATGGTAAAAGAAGAAAATTAAGCAATAGGTTGTGTCTGTGCATTATCGTAGAAGAGTTGTGTAGTACATTCAATAAGTTATTTAAGATAATTCACTATTAATAATTAATAACAAAGTTTGTTTGCTTGCTTGTTGTTGAGCATAAAAGAAAACAAATGGGCAATAATTCATGCTCTAGTACATCAGAAATAAATACACAAAGTGGGAGTAAAAATGTAAATTTTTAAGGCAAGAATTCAAAACAACCTACAACATTAGATTTCAAAGTAGAAAATGGAATAAAATTAGCCAGAATTGTCGAAGCCCTCAGTATAACAACTGCTACGAAACTGAGTTCAAACCATTATCTCTTAGCAAATTAGAAAAAGTGCTAGACGAAATTGAGAGGAGAATATCGCTACATTTTCAGTTTGTCCTATTTATACATAAGGACTAAATTTACATGTATTATACATGGGCAGATACAAAGACTGCAGCTGTTGAAAATCATATAAAAATATTTATACATAAATATCTTTAAAATCAACAGGTAGATTGTTCAAACTTTACAAGATAATTCCCTTACCAGTAGAAGTGAATAACTGTACAAATTGAAACACAAAAAATAGCTATTTTGGTTGATTAACAAATGTATTGTTACGTCTCCGG